ACCTCTTAAACATAACTCTGAACACTTCCTGGGTAAAAAAAAATAAACAAAAAAGTTGTGAGAATATTGCCGTTTTGTGTAGAAAAACATTTATAAATTATACTTTTAATTTAGATATATATTTAAAACAACGTTAAAAATCTGATATTGCTTATCCTCGCTAATCCAACGTTCAGTTGATTAAACCTGATAAGTTAGGCACTGCGCCTATTGTCTTTCAAAAAGTATTTGTTCGAAGCAAAAATATATCCGACAATTGTTGCTCACACGAGAATTATAATGTACTTCTAATATCGTACAACCTGCCATTATGCAAGTAATTTTAATGTATACCGTATTTTATATGAATCATAATAATTATGACTATAAAAAATATTACTCTTTGAGTCAGAACTGAGCGAGAATTAGTTAATGTGTAGTTAATGTTCTTAAATTGAATGAAGTCATTATGAGAACTCAATTTGGCATTTTTAACACCATTTTGAATGGAGTTTGTTCAATTATGATCCTTGACTTTATAATAGCATGATGTTTTAGTCCTTGTTAAGATGGAATTAAAAGAAACAAAATTAATATTAAAAAAAAAACATTTATCTACTATAAGTAGGTACTGTTTAAAAGTGCCTATGAGAAACCAAGATTAAATTGGTATAGAAAGAGGGAAATATTTTAGTATATAATATAATATTTATCTACGCTTATATTATAAAAAGGAAATTATTTAATCGTTTGTTTGCATAGAATAGATTTCGAAGCTACTGGACCGATTTTAAAAATTATTTCACCCACGGAAAGCTTCATCATACGCGGGTGATATAGGCTTTGAATTGTCGCGAGAAAACACCGCGTTTCCAAATAATGTGGAGTCTTAAAGAGGAACATTGTATAGATTATACATTTTACAAACTTTAAATTTAGTATTTGACATTTTTTACAACTGAATCAATTATTTTCAGCTAGCTAGGCTTAGTTTATGCATGTAATTGTACAGGTTGAGTTAAAATAACAATGTTAAAGTTACATAAATGTAAATTATTGGAGTTCGAGTAAAATCTGCATGTAATTAATTATTAATAGAGTAAAGTTGAGTAGCTCAGTGGCGTAGCAGATAAGTACCGTGGCCCCCGATCGTAGTTGCTAAGATATGAACCAAATATATTGAAATTCCTTCTTAAATTGTTCCTGATAGCAGATTTGTAAATTGTCAATAAGTCCAGAAAACTGGCGATCGTTCATAGGATTCGCTTGGCTTATTTCAAAATTTTTATTAAACAATAATGTAGGAAGTAAATTCAGTATTCCATTTTAGGGATATTCCATATTTGGTTACATTCAATCTATTCAATACAATAGACATAATACTAGCTTTTTAATGAAAAATATCTTTGAAAGCTCTGCCCCAGGGCAGTATTTTTTAAATACTTTTGTATGTATTCCGAGATGCAATGTAAAATTTATAAAACATAATACTAGGTTTTGATTTATTTTAGGGCTCTATATCAATTTAGTTTTTAAAATGGGTTTTATCGCTAAATGTATGAGAACCGCTGACCTTGAAGAAGATAGCCAATAAACTTTCTATTTAAAAAATGTGAGTCTATTGGTCTGAATATAAGAGGTAGTGGTATAATTGACTACTAACGCATCATGAAACAATAAAGGAAGCTTTTTGTGCCAGTGTTCCGTACATTGTTATGCCAAAACCAAGGTTGGACTAGTGTTAAGATTAACTACTAAGAATTGTTAGTAGGAATTAAATCACGATTGACCTTAAAAAAACCCAAATAGTTAAGTAAACTTGATTTATAACAAGCATTGTTATCATAATAAATTAAGACATAAATCAGAGTACTGAGACTGTTATTGGATGTTAAGCAATTTACGCAAAAGTCGGTCAGAAGATGGGTGACCAGAAATGTTTGTTATGAAAAGCTACGTACTTTGGAAGTTTCGTTAAGTCGCATAAGAAGTGCAATATAAAAGTAGTCCATATTTAACTAGTAAACAATTGATAAACAACGCGAAATATTATTTGAAGAATTCCAGATAGTATTTTTACTTAAAAACTAATTTATGCATTTCAAAAAGATATTAACTAAACGTGTTCTAATCGTAATTAGAACAAAATAATAATATACTTAACTCTATATTTCCATGGAAAAATAAAAAGTGAAATAAATTAAAACAATTAATTAATGCCTTATTGAAGGAATTCTTCTAGAAGAAATCTTATTGAAAGAAAGAAAAAGATGTCTTATTCTTTTCAATCCTTCTAAATTTGAAGCATTCTGAAATACTTTTAAATTATAAGCTAGGTATTTAATTAGTTTAATGGCCTAATTAAATATCTAGCCACAGAACTTATTAAAATTTTGCCTTTAAACTAAAAAAACATCTTCCGTTTGCAGTTTCATTTAATAGATAGGTGGGACGAGACTTTAATTTAAACTATTCAGTACATAGATTTTATATTTTCTTTTTTTTATTGGGCATTTGCCTTTCTTCACAAAGTCAACGACGAGGTTATGTGGAATTCACCTGCGTAACTAAAAACTCTACAATAATAATTAAAAAAAAACAACATCTCATACATTGCTCAGATTCCAAGATGAGTAGCTAAAGCTCCGGTTTTATGGAGTGACTGAGACAACGAAGGTACCATAACACCCAAACACGAGACATAATAGAAACGTCCATTTTCTACATTGACCTGACCGGAAATCGAACCCGGAACAAAGAGATCTCGACACCTTGAAACCGGCGTGCGGACCATAGAGTTCGTTGCTGTACTCGCTCCTGGAGGATGAGAGCCAAAAAACAGTGGAAGGGCTGCCAAAGCACTCATCCACCTTCTCATACTATTTTGAAAATATATATAAAACAAAAATATATAAAAAAGTACTTTTTGAAAATACAAGTATTTCTTGGTGACAATGAAGAAAAGGTGCAGTACCAAAGAATATCCAAACTAGCGTGGGAGTTATCTGACTATGCAGGATTTGATAGTAACAAGGTTTTTGTTTTTTACTTCTTTGTAAGCTGGTGAGTTTTTCTCTCGTTCTTATTATCAATCAAAAAGTTGGCCTATTAGAAAATTCGAACCATTTACATCAATTAACTATACTGTTCACTAGAACGAAGAACTATGTTTAAAACTACATATACATAAAATTGAATCGCTGATACGTATACATAATATAGACATATTTTGTGTCGTTTTTAATTCTAGTACCAGGATTGTCTAAAAGGTAATCAAATAAAATAAACACTTTTATTTTCTCTCTTTTTTATACCGCAGTTTATATAATAGATGGTGCATTTACTATGATTAACAAAAGAAGTTATCAACAACAAAATAAATTTCGGAAAGGATGACTTAAATTCATATTTTTCATTAGATACCTACACTAAACGTGTAAAGTAGGGGCGGGTAGCTAATATTTAATAATAATACACATCCATCCATTAGGAAACAATTTAGGAATAATTTACATCTACACAAAATAGCGTGCAAAAAACACGCGACACCTCATTGGCAAAAAACCCCATCCTTCATATGGGATATTATCTCTTCACCTTCAACACACCCCAAGGTCTTATCTTCGAAACCATAAACTCAAACATACTATAGTATTTTTTCTGTAGACGCTTCGAAAAAACCACATTAAGCTATATAGTCGCGACGATTGTAAGCGGAAAAATGCAATTTATATAAATACACGGAAGGACTAGTATTTACTATTGTTAGTTTTTTTTTTATTTAAATTTAATTCTTTGTTTTGTTTCTCGAAATCCGTGTCTTCGGATTGGAATAAGAAATAGGTAATCAATATTTACATTTATAAAGAAATTTAAATGATTGATTATTGTCCGCAGTGAGTCCTTTTTCGTTTGTAGTTTGCCGAGTTTATTCAATTTCTATTTGTAGTGTTTTTGATAGAAATTGTAACACGTAATATATTTTCTAAAATATATTTTTTTGAGATTTTTGTAGTGATATGTTCATCCGAAGAATTTCTGTATCAAGTTTTATAAAAATCAGTTCTAAGATTAAAAAAACTCATACATAGAAACACAATGCAAAAGTATGCCGCCATAACTATTCTGAGGCAAATTCTATTCAACTGTTTAGTAACATGATTTTTAATATTTTTCTTTCATAAATCAATGTAAGTATAAAATCCTCTAAAATACAATAGGGAAGGTCACACCTATGATATAACTTTTAACAATAAGTTTCGTTCACAATGATTCTAAGATGTTTGATATCTGATAACTATCATCAAGAGCTGGTTCAAGTGATAAACTGTAAGAGTATAGTTCTATTTTCCTATAATTGTATTTTTTAGCTCACAAAACGAGTTACAGAAACATTTAAATTATTGTGCACAATTAAGAAATAATCCGTACCGTCAAATGAGCATAGTATGGATCAAATACATAAAGAATAATGAGGGTAACATAAAAACGTGGTCGCTGAATATTTTACAAAAGTACAACTCGACACAGCAAGAAAACAAACAAAAACACATAGGATAGGTCTTTAAAAAAAAAGAAATTTACCTTTTACAAAATCATTATACAGGCGACACAAACTTATAATTTTTATAATTTATAGATAGATATATATATATATATATATATATATAATCAACAATTTGTAATCTACTTTTCTATTCATTTTAAAAACTATGTTATTTAGAAATAAATTTATAATTCTCTATAACTCACATAACTTATACAGACTCAGATAAAAAATAAGTGTTTATTCGATGAAGGAAGATGTATGTTATGAAGTGTCATATCCAAATCTAAATTTGATAATACCAAGTATTTGTGAACCACGTTATACGTTGTGACTTAGTATGTATAATGTTTACTCGAGTTGAGCCTTAGTATCTCAGCCAAACCTAGGGAAACCTCTCTCAATAAAGAACGAACGAGGACTTGGATATTAAGGACGCCTCTCCCTTTATGATTGATCGCTATCTGCGTGCACTCTATTTGATCTTCTGTCCAAAAAGTAGCTTGTTGTTTACTTGTTCAACTTTATCTTTTAAGACCCACGCAAGAGGCGAGCTCGCGTTTGCTGAGAATAAGGACAAGGATAGGTGTCCAACTAATTCCCTAAGGAACATGGGACCCCGACCTGGTTGGGATAGGAGATAGGAATCCTAATGGTTTTCCGAAAAGTGTACTACTTAACCCTGATGTTTGCTAGGCAGCGGGTATGCATGAAATATCTATATAAAAAAACTCTAGTAATCTATTACTTGTACTATACAACAAAAATACTACACAAGGAACGGTAGGCTCGAGCTAAATTGCTTAGACCTTCCATTATGCGCCATTATTGACTAAAAATGGGTAAAATATAAGAAGGTAAATTCATTCATGTTGTTTAGATATTGCATAATTCAAGGCGATGATAATATTCGATTGGTATATAAATAAACTTTTTATTTATTTTTGTGCTTAATATATATTTCATGTTACTCAAATAACACTGTTTTTTGAGTAACATGAAATATAGTTTCAAAATACGAAATGCTTTCGAGATCTTATAAAAATTCTAACTAAAAATGAAACGTACTAAAAACAATTTTAAGACATTCCACTTAAAATTCACTATGGGATACTTCGAACTGTTTCGTAATTTAACCTTATTTATCCATTTTTAAACAACATCAAAATCATAATTCAGGACTTGTTCAGAACAGGAGGAGTTTTATATATTTCACGGGTATATGTTTTTTCTACGATATATGAATATGATATATAATGAATATATCATCGATTTCTCCGCAAATTATTAATTGATTTTCTAAATACTTAATTCAAAAGCTTACGGTCTGAGGTGATCAGTTTTATATAAAAAATATATGAACTATTTAAAGACAACATGTCATTGTATATCGAAACAAAAAACACATAAATTTTAACAGCCTTCGGTTGACCATCACGGTTCGTAGGTTAAAATTCTATGACATAACATTTGTCATAGGCAAATCGTGGTTTATTATAAATGACTGACGCGTCACAATCAGATATTAGTTTGATTGTACAGATGCAGTTATAATGGCAGTATACGTAACATACCTTTGTCTTTTTACCCAACTACGGCAAAGCAAAAAGCCTACTATAATTTGACAATTGAGATAGTGTCTTCGAGCGGATCGTCCGAATATTTGGAGTCACATTTAATTGAATATGGTCTGTAGATACAAAATCACACAAAGTCAAGAATCAAAACACATCAAGAAATTACAACCTTATAATAATAACTGTATTATCACAAAGTAGGATTCATACCAACTTTTGCAAAATTGGGAAACAAGAAGCGGAGAGTAGCTAATATCCTCGCCAACCCGCACTGTTAAGACTGGGTATGCGTAATGCATTTAACATCGATAAAAAGGGGACAATTTAGACGTACGCAAAAGTTTTGATTAAATAATATTCCGTGTGAGCACGCGAATTGTTTAATCATAATTAAGCCGTAAAATTTGATATCCACCGACTGAATTCATCAACCTCGGCGTACAAATTAACAAGGTGCATTGTTCAACTACTGTTTGATGTACAGATAATATTTTAGCATCATAATGAACGAGACTGGGGGAGCGACCTTCCGATTATAATATAGTCCAGGAGATAAAAACTAACTGTTGTTGAAATATTGATAATATATTATTCCGCCTTCAAACAAAAGATGTTCTATAATTAACAATTAAGTATGTTTCTATGTCTAAGATTTTCTCAAAAACTAATGCTCGAATAGGGATGACGTACCTCCACCTGGGACTTATATTAAGATACCAGGTGTCGGATCTAGAGAGAGGGTAGTACGGGGGGTTTTGCACGGTAGACCCACTGCACTGGACCGCCGTCCCTTGCAGTGGGAGAGCCTGGGTTCAGTCGGCCTCAAGCCCAGGTCGACGGCATGTTAAGGTCAGTTCGCCTCGGTATAAAAAAAAGGTATAACGTACCTATGTGAAAAAAATCTATTTAATCCGTCAGTCAGATAATAGAAAAATATAAGATACGTATTTTTTTACTTCAAATAAAACAAGAAATGGCTTAGATAATAGGCATCAAATTTGAGGAGTGGGGGCTCGCTACGTCACAGTTTTGTAGAAAATGTACAAAAGTGTAACGTCATGCTGTAACGTCATGCGACATTTCAACTCTATGTATCGCCGTAATTTATTGATTACGCAAAAAAATACGTGTTTAATATTCATCATTAATCTGCCTGACGGATAAACAAACAGAAATAAGTCGCCATCCCTTTTCTCGACTTTCTTATATAAAAGTATTTTATAAGGTTATTATATATTACTTATCCGTAAAGTTCCGTAATGGACAAGTCTTAGTTATTATTACAAGTCCTTGGAAGGCCAGCTTTACTATTCTCTTAAAATACAGCTTTGAATCTAGCGAGGAACACAGCGCTGTCGCAGCTTAAGAGATTCAACTACGAACTATTAAGAATCTGACCTGATCGAAAAATATCGTAGACTCGGGGCTAAGCCTAATAGAATATATAGAATACATAGTAGAGCCGCTAGTGGCAGCGGCATAAATCAAACTAGCTATAACCACAGACACATATAAATAGTTCAGTGATCAATTTCTAATACGGACTGAGACGACATGTTCCACAATTATGTGGTCTGAATTCTTTCGTTTTGTATTAATAACACCTATTTTTAACTATTACAAGCAGAAGCAGTTTATAATTCATGATCCCATTTTAAGTTGCTGTTTCCACCACCAAATTTTCTGCTTAACCTACGCTAATTTTGAGTGATGTATTCATATCTGCTCCTTTATCTAAATAGTATAAAAATATCGTCAATTATACTGTCAAACTCCACTGCAATATGCCATACATAATAAGGTGTCCTACAATAGAAAATAGAGGTTTCTGTTATATGTTCGGAAAATATGGACCATTTTAAATTAAAAGTACTTTACAAAATAAATTTTTTAACACTAATTTGGAAAATATTACACTTTTAAAACTTGAAAAATGTAGGTAAAATATATTACAAAAAATTGCTAAAATATTTATGGCATTTTTGTTACATAAAACGTAACAACTTTAATGATGACGAAGCTTTTGAAATTTTTACAAGTGTTTGTAAAAGCTTTGCTGATGATACCTATGCCAGCCTCTTTAGATTGTTTAATATAAATATTAAATGAAATTGTCACTTTTTATTATATATATCTTTGCTGTCCTCTAGTCCGTCTGTGCTATTTTTGTTCATCAAGTTATTAAAATATATTACTTTTCCTGCCTAATTTTACCTTTGATTAATTATGCAGTCTACGCTCCTTTGTCGACAACAAGCTTTATACTGAAAAAGCTGAGTATAACTAATTAGCAAACTTTTTATCAACTCTGTCTCTTAGTCTAAAATCTCAGAAAGGCAATTATTTAACATTTAATGTATGTAATGTCATACGTATATGAATTTTTCGAGCGACGGCGACAGGTCATTTGGAATAATGACCCGTTTATGTATTTAATCTAAAACAAATATTCTTCACATTCGTTATAAGAATAAAATAAATCACTATTTCATAATCCTTTTTTCTTACTACCCATCCAGAATTTCGTTTTAATCGTAAACTAAAATGTCGACTTTTAGTACTTTTCAATATTCCAACCAATTCAGGTTAGAATGTTTAAAGTAAAAGCCAAAGAAAATAAAAAACAGATTAGGTAATAATTATAGATTATCTAAGCTAAACACGTTATTCTATTCATTTCAGGTACTACTTGATTTCTTCCGCACATACATAGATAACTAATAACAAAAATGAATTGCACATTGTGAACAGAAATCACAATCTCATGAGGGTTAAGGATTTTTTATTTTAAATTATTAAATCATACAGGGCGTGGTCATTCCACTGTGAGAATAGTATTCGATAATAAGAGTATAACATAAAGAGACATAAACGATATTGTTAAATAAAAATGTTATAAATTAAAAAAAAACCCCGACAAAATCATGATAACATAAATAAATTGCCAGTAAAATTTAAAAAGAAAAAGAATATTAAAAACAACCCTTCCGAAACTGTAATATAAATAAATTTTGTATATATTCATTGTCATGTGCTTGTATGCTCAACTAAAAGAGCCTAATTACTGAATAGTCTTCAATTATTTTCGTACACGTAAGGTTTTATTTTCAGAGATTTTCAAAAATATTTAATTATATCGTACCAAATTACTTCTGCATGTGAAGCTGTGGGGAACCATTCTAAATCTGAACCATACCTCTACAGCCATTTATTTTGTTTTAGATTTTGAAATAATATTAAATTGGCGGTCCCCCGACGACTTCACATGCAGAAATAATTCCATACAAATATAATTGAAGACTATTCAGTAAGTAAGCTCTTTTAATTGAGAATGTTTATTTTTTACTATTGGATGGTTTGTTTTTTATCATTTTGGTTTCGTTTTAAACTTTTCTGTGATTTTATTTTTGTTTTAATGTTTTTCTCGGAATAAATTTTTCATTTAACTTCTATTTCAAGTTTTTCAGTTGTAGTAGTACCAATTCAATAGCTTCCCCATAGATATTCAAAAAAAATATATATCAAACAAAACTAACTAACCAAACTTTTATTTCAAACTGAGCTTTGCAATAAACTTGAAATTTAGTTCTAATTTAGTTCTGTTACACACACACACACACACACGCACACACACACACACACACACACACACACACACACACACACACACACACACACACACACACACACACACACACACACACACACACACACAGACACACACACACACACACACATACACACAACCACACACATACATAAACAAACAGACAAAGGTGTCAAACTTATAAAACCCCTCTTTTTCGCTTCTCGTCGGGGGTTAAAAAGATAATAATAGCTCATAGTGAGATATCTATAGCAAAAATAAATATCACTTACCCTTGAAAGAGACTCCGTGTCCTGGATCACGTCCGTAAGGCGGTCTTCCTCCATAATCTCCTACCGACACAGGCCTAGAAGTTACCACTTCACCACCCGGTCTAACTATGTAACTAGGGACATTGTTAGGCTTCTCAAACTCATATTCAAATACAGGTTTAACATCAGGCCTATTGTAATCAGTTTGATTAGGACTTCCATAGTTAGGTTTATGTTGCTTATAATCATTCGGCGATTCATTATTTTGCGATCCATATCCAGAGCTTTCGATATCTGAAGGGCGATTATAAGAAGGTGGGTCAGGACGGTTAATGTCATAAGAAGGCCCATCGTTCCCGTATGAGGGCCTATCGTTATTTATTGGCTTATTATTGACAGGTTTGCCTCCATATGAAGGTCTGTCGTCATATGTTGGTTTATTATTGACTGGTTCATTTCCATAAGAAGGCGTATCGTCATATGCAGGTTTATCATTGACAGGCTTATTTCCATAAGAAGGCCTATTGTCATATGCTGGTTTATCATTTACAGGCTTATTTCCATAAGAAGGCCTATTGTCATATGCTGGTTTATCATTGACAGGCTTGCTACCGTAAGAAGGCCTATGGTCATATGCTGGCTTGTCTTTGACAGGTTTACCACCATATGAGGGCCTATCATTACCATAAGAAGGTTTATTATTGCCATAACTTGGACTATCATTTTCATATGAAGGTTTGTTCCCAAAAGGCCTGTCGCTGCCATATGCAGGTTTATCATTTATAGGTTTATTTCCATATGAAGGTCTCTCATTACCATACGACGGCCTATCATCATCGTAAGGTCTATTACCGTATGTAGGCTTATCAATGCTATATGAAGGTCTGTGGTTTTCATAAATCGGTCGATAACTGTCGTATAGTGGCTTATCAGGACGATTATAGTCGGGTTTATTATTGTTATAAATTGGTCTGTTAACTTCATAACTACCTTGGCTTACACCATATGATTGGCTGTTGTGCTGTTCTGCGTAACCTGTATAGGATGGCTTACTGACGTAGTTACCTTGACTTCCATAACCTTGGTTACCATCAAAAGAACCGTAGTTTATATCATGATTTGGTTTATGTGTATTAGTTTCATAACCAATGTTACTAAGGCTACTGTATGAAGGCTTGCTGCTACTGTGAGAATGACTACTTCCGTACGAAGATTCGCTGCTTGTACTACCATAGGACGCTTGGCTACTTCCATAGTAACCCTGACTGTTTTGATAAGATGGTTTATTTATTTCAGGCTTTTCGGAACCGTAGCTATTGGACTGACTTCCATAACCTGTATTTGGAGTCCCTCCATAGGGGGAACTTTGTCCATAACCATTGTTACTCGGTCGGTTATGGTTTACAATTTCTGTGATAGTGCCCTGGCCGTAATGTGAACTTTGAGATTGGGTGAAAGAGTTGTGACTGGTGTGGCTGCCATACCCAGTCCCACCTTGATCTCCATAACCGTAGTTTTGGCCGTAACCTCCTTGGGATGTACCATAATTAGGTTTATCATTTTGAGGTTTCTTAGGTGGCTTATAAGGTCGCGGTGGATCATAAATCTCCACATATACCGAGTTATCTTGATAGTTTGATTGACCATAATTACTCGCGTATTGACTGTTATAATTGTAGCTCGGCTTATCATATGGCCTGGATGGATTGGGTCTATAATCTTGTGGTCCATTAGGATATATAGGACGACTTACACCATAAGGGTCTGGTTTTGTAGGATAACCAAATTTGTCATATTCTGAGTCGTGTGGTCTAGGTTTGCGATTTGGTCTGACAAAATATTGATATGTAGGTTTCTCTAAGCCATAAGTGTCAAAAGTATTATGATGCGTATTTGGTCTCCAATAACCTTGATTTAAAGGTCTAGTTGGTTTATATGGTCCTTGGAAATTCAGTTCGTCATATGGGTCTGGTCTATATGATTCAATAGGGTTCGGTTTTTGAGGCTGAGGCTTATATGGTATATCTATAGGTTTATGAGATCCATAGCTCGGTGGATCATCGAATACCGGTTTTTGGCTATTGTAATCATCTGGCCGATCGTTGTCTAAATGGTTGTGATATGGAGGTCTATACGGTGGTATTGGTTTGATTAAATCTGGTCTAATGGACTCGAATGGGCGCGAATCGCTTAGATAGTCGTCTAAAGGTCGTCTATCTTCCTCATCAGGTCTGAAAACAGGTCTGTGAACTGGACCATCGCCAGGGTCATCGAATTGTGGTTGGAGAGGTGAAGGTGGTGCTTGTTCACATTGGAACCTTCTGACGTAGACATCATAATCGGGATGGCGCATCAGAAGATTTCTTTCTTTGAGTTCCTTTTCACTGATATTACTGAGATTGCACGTAGCGTTCCCTTTGGCTCCGACTCTGAAAGTAGGGACTGTATGAAAATCAAAAATTGATGTATGATGATGTTTCATTAACTATCCCTCATATAATAACGTTAAAATTGATACAGATATAGAGTTGACCTTGAGAAATAACATAGGCTTTTTCTTAAGGTATCAACTCTTATATGTATGTATGTATGAGAGCTCGTCATGATCATATACATAAAAATCCTTGAAACTTTATATTTGGTATTTGATAAGATATTTATAATTGATTTGGCGTTTTTGGAATTGCTATCTAGAGGACATAAATAAATATAACAGCGCACGAAGTCGCAAGCAAGAGCTAGTATAAAATATTATTGTAGTCAGATATTTTCTTTAAGAAAACTGTTGTATTACAATATAATGTATTATATGTGATTCGGTTCTTTTATTTTTAGCGAGGTTCTTCTTCTGTTATTAATGGCTTATCTGCGCGTTTCGTATAATACTGCCAATGTCAAGTGATTAAATTAAAATAAGTTAATTTCTACATGTAAAATAAAATGGATGAAAGATGGTGACAAACTCAAAATTCTTAATTATTATTAAATTTTTGTTAAGTTGTGACGTCTCGTGTTGCTACGTAATACGAGACATTAATATTATTAGCGCTACCTATTAGATAATATACTAAACATTCTTTACCCGTAATCATATGTTTGGCATTGCTTGTCTTGCTTGCAGAGTTGTTCGCACTCTCGAGTCGTGAGTTCTGACACGTTCCGATAGATGGCGTCGCCAGGCAATTGTTCTCCAATGGACAGCCTATCGAAGCAGTCTGAAAAGTTTTAATCAACAAATGAATTCAAAAGGTCGTCAATTCTGACTATATATTTCTTACTAATATATATATTTCTTAGAAAGATCGATTGTGAAACAAATGACGCAAGTTCGAATGCAGCTAGAAAAATAATTCCATAACGTATACCTATAAATTATTAAACGAACTTGCCTAAGTGAAGTTCGATCTTTAAGAAAAACCAAAGTTATACGAAGTGTCGTGTTCAAACGAATTAATACATTTACTTATTATATTTTATGAAAATAATAGTATACTAATCTCAAGGACGAGGCGAGAGTAGAACTTTCGATTTTCTCATACTACTCTACTCTCAGTTTTCAAAACCAAAAGTTACGAGTATATTGAATTGTTAATTACGTCTGAAAAAATCCGAATACACGGTACCATACCTTGCAACCTCTCCAGAATTCACCTGGACACTCCAAAGAGATTTTAACGCAACGCTACAACACCGCCAATAGGGAGGACTATTGGGTAAAAAAAAAATTCTATTCAGTCCGTCAGTCAGATAATAGAAAATATTGGATACGTATTTTTTTTATTTTTACTTGAATTTTACACGAAATGCCTTAGATAATAGGCATTAAAGTTGAGGAGTGGGGACTCGCTACGTCACAGTTTTGTAGAAAATGTACAAAAGCATGGCGTCACGTGACATTTAAGCTCAATGTAATTTAATTATTACGCAAAAATAAAAAATGCGTGTTTAATATTTTTTAACAATCTTCGTGACGGATAAACAAAAAATAGTCGTCATCCCTATTAATTGCATAAAACTAACTGGAGAAAATTGAATGAAAATAAATATCGCAATTTGTCATAGTTATTACAAGTATTATTTCGAACTTCTACCGCTCTCCGGCTGAACACTATGACAGCGTAAGATGGAAGTTAAGACGATTATGGGAATTAACCGTCTCTTATTTTCTTTTATTATTATTGTTTTATTTATCTTTATCTTATTTACCTTTTCTTTTCAGGAAAAGATAGGGACTCTTTATAGTTCTTAGTCTACTTATCTGAGATTACAAAAATCCCCAAAGATATTAGGACTATTAAAATTATCTAAAGGAATAATAGAACTTAAGGAAAGGGTAAATTACTTACCTAGAGAGTAGGGCAGAGACAGCCATTTCCTACTTTTTCTTACATAGAAGGAGGGGGGCAAAAACTGGCCAAATTCGTCTTACTTAATAAAATACACTGAGTACCAAAACAAATTTAAAATAACTTTATTTTAAAATAGAATTTACTTGCACAGAAATCAAACCTGTTATGTACACAAGAGTTGGCATTTAGTGCCAACTCTTACTTTTTCCTTTATATAGCCATTTGTAACTTATCTCTTCATTGTAAACACGGAGTCTTAAATATTTTTAAGTAACTTAGTAAATGTGGGAACTCAATATTAGTAACATTAAATGCTTTAATTAAAAATCCTGACCTTGTTTTCATAATCACAGACTAAAGATGTCTTACCTTCTATAGACGTACCCAGCTGCGAATCAATAGTCAACGTTTGCACTGCCACGAGCAAAACCGGGCACAAAGTTAATAAGCACAACATCTTAACAGAATAAAAGAATAACATGCTATTTCATTTGCTTTTAAAAATTACGTCATCCCGTGCTCGGCATTGTGTGCCAAGATTAATTAATCAAAACTTTAAAACTAAATAGTTTGCACCGCAATTTTACTAATTCAAAAGTGCTGTCAAAATGGCATTGCCGTTCGCGCGCTTTTTACCCGCGACGCGTCAGTAATGAGAACAATGTCTGTTGTTTCTCAAAATCAAAAGAAATTGCAAATGGCGTCCGCGCAGGTTGAACTTTGCAAATATTGTGGCGTAAATCTTTGTTGGGTGTGTCTTGAAGATACGCTCTGGTGGTCGCATCGTTTCTTTTGCGAGACATGTGAACCTTAAAGTTAGTTAATCGAGCAAGGTAGGTACAGTCGGCGTCAAAATCATTGGAGCGGAACCAGTCTAAAAATCTCTATCCCCTAGCCAGATTGCGGAATTAAATAAATTATTAAATACTGCTTACGACGTATTCGTATAGCTTATGATACCCATAACTTATTCAGTTAAGAACAATAAAATTTACATCTACAAACCATAATTATTGATTTCAAACATCTTCAATACACTAATACTTCACCCAATTAACGGAAACCTTTTAAATAACGTTCTAAAAGGATATTGACGCATCTTCTCCCGCCGCCAAAGTCTGAGAAATTGACAACCACTATATCACACACCAGTCTAGAGAGACTGAGTATAGCCACGCGTCCTCTATCCGAGTAAGTGCCGGAGAATCTCTGAAAGGGGATAGGAGGCCCAGTGTCCTGGTTTGAACACTTCCCATCCTTGTGAATAGAATCTGTCAATGAATTTATAGTGCTACCCACTATCACTTCAAGGGCCAGGAATATTTTTCATCGTGGAAAATAGATTATTATAATGTTTGGGGTTTATAGTTTGCATTGTATTTACGTCGAAGGATACGAATATGGCGCAGACTGTACCTGTATTTGACTGATTTAACAAAGAAAGAGTGTCACAACGTATTTCAATCGAAACGGATTTAGATCAAAGTAGGTATAGATAGGTACTTTTAATTAGAGTTGCAACTCAACAATCTCAACAATTCTGTAACTTAAAACATGATTTTATACATATTAATGCTTGATCCATGAGTTCGAGGGCATAGTGGTTATCGTGTTCTATCTGCCATGCGGAATATAATGGCGGATCATAGAATGGGTGACTAAAATTTATTAAGTATCTCGAGCCATTAGCTCTGACTGCATCTACAGTCGTTAACACCCATCAATCCGCATTGGGCCCGCGTGGTGAGTCACTGAAGAAATGTGAACGCAGCTTCATTCATTATTTATTACCTATTTCAGAACGCATCCGTAATCTATATATAGAAAGTGGCAACCTTCCTTGACCCTTCCTGTTGCGAACCTCATGCTTGTAATACGTACCGTACGTTCTTAAATAAATCAATCATATATTACATGTTCTATTATTTAGCTAGCCTGTGGATAAATAACTAATATTAATTTTATTTAACTCAGTTTTCATTAGGTTATGGGTCCAGACGCCCAGTAGTTTAGCGTAGGGAAAAGTAAAAAGTTAAATTTATACACGTGTCCAATTGAGGTTACCGGCCGGTATTTTCGGGTTTGTTCAGCTAATAACAAAATTTGATAAAATGACATTAAGTGGACAAATGGCTCACATTGAGAAATTGCAAGGCCGTGAAAACTATGCCACGTGGAGCTTTGCTGTTCGAACGTACCTGGAACACGACGAGTTATGGAAATGCGTGAATAATAATGGTGACGAGTTTACTAAAAATGAGGACACAAAAGCTAGATCGAAAATCGTATTACTGGTGGATTTCGTCAATTACATCCACATACAGGAGGCAAAAAACTGCGAAGGAGGTATGGTCCAATTTACAGAAGGCCTTTGATGACTCTGGTTTGACAAGGAAGGTAGGTTTGTTAAGAGAATTAATTACCTCAAATCTAGAAGAATGTGGAAATATTGAAACCTATGTAAATAAAGTAATAACTTGTGCGCACAAGCTTCGCAATATAGGGTTCATGGTCGATGATGATCAAAAATTTTGCAGGATGTGATAAATGTAAGAGAGTCTGCCGCTTTCTTCTCAAACTCTCATAAATACAATTTTAAATACAATAAACCTACAGGGAAAGGTCCACGTTGTTTTAAATGTAATAAATATGGGCATATTTCTAAAAATTGCCGCTCTAGTCAGTACTCAAAACCAAAGACTAATAATAATGATAAAAATAAAACTTCTAGTTTTGTAGCCGCATTTATTGCATCACAAAACTTGAATCGAGGGTGCTGGTACCTGGACTCTGGAGCTGCAATGCACATGACAAACAACAGAGATTGGATATATGATTATGGCCCTGCTCCGGTGTCTACTGTCAATGTAGCTGATAATAATACTCTTGCGGTGAAGGGTTGCGGAAAAGTAAATTTGAGCAGTTATAATGGAGTTAATTAGCAGTTGATTGGTGTCATACAGGGTAAACAAACCAGACAACCTTTCAAGACTGAAGGCATAAGGGCTAGTGGCCTACTTGAGGTGATACACTCTGATGTTTGTGGCCCTATGGAAGAAACTTCCCTTGGTGGTGCCAGATACTATGTAACATTCATTGATGATTATTCCAGAAAGGTATTTGTTTACTTTATGCATTCAAAACATCAAGTACTTGAAAAATTTTAAGAATTTTAACATCTTGTTCAGAATCAGCTGAACAAAAATATAAAAGCTTTAAGATCTGATAATGGCAAAGAATACTCTAATAGAGAATTTGAAAAATTATGTAAAGAGTCTGGTATCAAGCGACAGTTCACAATACCTTACTCACCAGAACAGAATGGTATGAGTGAGAGAATGAACCGAACTGTAGTCGAGCGTGCCAAATGTCTACTGATAGATGCTAAGATGCTAAAGAAATTTTGGGCAGAAGCAGTCTCTACAGCTGCTTATATGATCAACCGATCACCTACGAAATCCATTGATTATAAAACACCTGAGGAAATGTGGACAGGTGAGAAGCCGAACATTCAAAATATGCGAGTCTTTGGCTGTCGTGCAATGACACACATACCTAAAGAAAAACGTTTAAAATGGGACAGTAAAGCAAAAGAATTGATATTTGTGGGATATTGGTCAGAGTCCAAGGGTTACAGGTTATATGATGACAAAGATAAGAAAATTATTAGAAGCAGAGACGTCATATTTTTGGAAGACACTGTAGAGAAGAATCTTACCTTGATGCCAATGAGCTCCTTACAACAAGAAGAGAAAATTGAGACTTTAAGTTCTTCACAACAAGAACAGAAAATTGAGTTTCTAAATAATAGTATGAGTTCATATGACAGTGCGAGTTCTAAAGAAGATAAAGATGTAGACATTTCTGATGATGAGGATTATATTCCTGAACATCCAGTCACTCCATACCCTGACCAGAAGAAACCCGTCAGATATTTGAGACCCGGAAAAGGTAACAAAATACCTACATACTTATGTCAAAAATCAGACTATGATATTTCTCTGCGAGATCCTCAAACTGTACAGCAGGCTTTGCAGAGCCATAACAAACTGGACTGGCAGAAAGCGATGGACAATGAGTATAATTCATTAATAAGAAATAACACATGGACCCTCAGTGAACTGCCTCCTGGAAAGGACATTATGCCATGCAAATGGATATTTAAAACCAAACTAGATGCAAGTGGCAATATTACAAAATATAAGGCCAGGCTGGTGATTAAAGGGTATGAACAAAAATTTGGGATAGATTATACAGATGTTTATGCACCTGTAGTGCGATTAAGTTCCATTAGGTACTTACTAGGATTAGTTGCTAAATATAACCTTAAAATAGAGCAGATAGATGCAGTATGTGCATTTTTGCAGGGCGATATTGATGTTGATTTACACATGTCACAACCCCCACATTACGAAACTGGATCAGAGCAAGTATGTAAGTTGAATAAATCCATTTATGGCTTAAAGCAAGCTAGTAGAAATTGGAATAATAAATTAGACAGTTATTTATTGGAAATTGGATTTAAAAGGTCAAAGTTAGATCCATGTGTATACTATTTACATACTGATAAAATCAGCATAATGTTTTTGACTGTGTATGTGAATGATATTTTACTAATCTATAATAATGAAGAATAAGCACATAAATGTAAGAAGAAAATAATAGAAAAATTTGAAATGAAAGAATTAGGACAAGCAACATATCATATAGGCCAGAGAATAACATATAGCAATAAAGATATTTTTTAGACCAAATTAAGTATATTGAAAACACATTAAAGCGTTTCGGAATGGAAAACTGTACCCCGGTGGGAACACCTATGGAAACAGATTTGAAATTTACTGATACCTCAGAGAGTATAGAGGAAAAGTTATTGCCTGGATACACTGGCGGATTAAGGGAGGGGCGGAGGAAGCGGTCCGCCCCAGGCCTCCGGTCCTGCGGGCTTCCAAATGGGCTGCCGCCATCCGCCAATATCATAATAATAAAGTTAAAAATGTATGCTCTAGAGGGGGGAGGGTTTAAACGCAATATCAAATAGCTGCCCTGGTTTAAAAAAGTTTCCGATCCGAGCCTATTGCCATCCCGGGCCTCCGATGAGGTTAATCCGCCACTGCCTGAATATCTGATTAATGATACTTTTCCCGATCAATTGATAATGTTATTGACAATCTCAATGACTCACAAAGAGTGGTTGAATTTGTAGTGGCGACGTATTATCAGCAGAGAAACATTTTTATGCAAATATTATATACATATGTACTAAGAATACAATACAAATTAAATTCGAATACTTACAACATCTCTGCGTAAACGCAAGTTCGAAAAATGTGTTGTATTTTTTCATTTCCGTTTTTTTTTCCTTAAAGTGTGTAATTATGGGATTGGTAACGATAGTTTGTGAGGACTAGTTAAACTCTAAACATAGGTCAACTTAGAACAAAAATGTTACGCTCG